GGAGCCTGTTCTGTTTCCTAAATTTGTAAATCAGATACAATAAGATTCAAAACAATCAATACAGTAATTATGACAGTGTATTGTAATAAAATTATTTAAACTTCTGGATTATTTCCTTGTAATGTTTTCAGCCCATGGAAAGAAGCGCTATGGTAAGGGGGACTACTGTATCTTTTATTTCATAGGCATTTTGATTGGTATGTTGACACACCTTGGTTTCCATTAGCAACTGTTTAACACAGCACATTATTCATGTTCCTCTTTGTAACCTACGTATCTTGTTTTGTGAAATGTCTATATGCCTTTCCCCATTTTTCAATGTTGTTTTTCACTGTTGAGTTTTGAGATAACTTTACGTATTTATATACTTGTCCTTTCTAGAACCGGGTGATTTATAAATGCTTTCTTTGTAGACTATCAGGGTTTTGTGGGTAGGAAAAAGTGTTCATTTTGATAAAGCCAAATGAACCACTTCCTTTTACTGATTACGCTTTTTTGTTGTTGTTGAGTCTGAGGATTTTGTGTCTCTAGCTTTCACAGTTTACGTTCTGCGTGCAAGTTTGTGCTCCTCACTCCGAGCGTCGGGTTTGTGTCTGCATGCAGAGCACGAGGCGTTGGTCTCTGAGCCTGGCCTGTGCGACAGCATGATGACCCCTGCGTCTCACTTTGTTTGACTGGATGATTTTTCATTGTTTTCTTTGTAACTGGGGGCTGAGAAGGGTGAGTGAGTGCAGTGGTGGGGGGCGAAAGGAGGGTACGTGGTGGGTACCAAACAATGAGAAGTTCTCGGGTTCTGTAGTTTATGACAACGCATGGAGTACCATGTGAAGAACTGGACAGGAGCTTCGAGATTCCAGACGTAAAGCAAATATGTAGGGTGATGATTATAGGATTTAATCAGTTTATGAAGTGGACATTGTTGAAACAATGCTCTGTATTCTAAAAAACATCTGATAACAGAAAGTATTTATTAGTAAAAACAAACAAGCAAACAACAAAACAGAGCAGAAAGCCAAACACTGCCAGCTGGAGCTGTTTGACACCTTACTGTCTTTGAAAAGCGACATTACCTGCGCTTATTGAACATAGCTCTTGGCTCCCGCGGTCAGCCGGTGCGGAGCCAGAAAGGAAGGAAGTTGAACTGCCAGGTCTTTGTAAGGATGTCTAGGCAAGATGCAGAGGCCACCTCCTCCACGTGGGTCGGTGCTGCCTAGCTGAGATTGTCCTGGGCTCTGGAGAGACGAGCAACCTGGGCAGAGAGCTCTGGGAGCTAGTTGGGCTGTGAGAGACGACAGTCGTAAGGACCCCGCCACCAGACCCCGCCACCAGACCCTCCCACTGGTCACAGGAAATGACCTCTCCCTTTGGGCTTGGACAGTGAAATGGTCTGTGAGGGTCAGAAGTAGCAGAGACACAAAGTGCAGCAGAACAAGGGTGAGAAAGGAGCTCTTGAAGTAATATGGAAAAACGCGGAAGCGGTAGCCGATGACGAAATAAAAACAAGAAAATTACGTTCTAAGCCATAGAATTGATATTGTGGCCTTCCAATTATTATTTTTAATTTTATTTTTGATTGGAAAGTCAGATATATAGAAAGAAGGAAAGACAGAGAGGAAGATCTTCCGTCCAATGATTCACTCCCCAAGTGGCCACAATGGTGGGACCTGAGCCGATCTGAAGCCAGGAGCCTCTTTGGGGTCTCCCATGCGGGTGCAGGGTTCCAAGGCCTTGGGCTGTCCTCCACTGCTTTCCCAGGCCACAAGCAGGGAGCTGGATGGGAAGTGGGGCTGCCTGGGATTAGAACTGGTGCCCATATGGGATCTCAGCATGTTCAAGGCAAGGACTTTATCTGCTAGGCTACTGTACCGGGCCCAACGACCTTCCAGTTCTTTGGAATAGAAGTAAGCACAGATGCCAATGGTGTTAAATTAGCTGTTGATAGACTGAGATCAAATGTCAGAGGAGACTGTGATATGGGAGAAAAAAAGTGGGAACATTTACCTCTGAATAAGAGAAACGTTTACATGTAGTGAGAAACAAGAAGTTGGTTACCTGAGAACAAACGGAGAGCTGGACAAGGGGAAGCTTTGCTTACTAAGCGTGTAATGTTTTGGAAGAAGGTGACAAATGTCTTATGCCCAGTCCCACGCGTTCCTTTCAAGATGTCCTGAAGTTATCCTGAACTTCTGGCAGGCTTTAAAAAGCCAAGAGCAATTCATTCGCAGTCATGGTCTAAGTTCTTCAAGGAATGGGTGGCATAGGAGTAGCCCAGACTGAAGTGGTAAGACCTTGTTACGTTTAGCGGCTTGGTTGATTCTCTGGCTTGTCAGTGTTTTGGGGAGAGGAAAGGAGTGGCTGGTGTGTGAGTACAGCGCATGGCCCCTGAACCCGCTCGCTAAGGGCACAGGGTGTGTGGGTACACCGTATGGTGGTTTGACCCCCGTGCTAAGGGCACAGGGTGTGTGAGTACAGCGCATGGCCCCTGAACCTGCTCGCTAAGGGCACAGGGTGTGTGGGTACACCGTATGGTGGTTTGACCCCCGTGCTAAGGGCACAGGGTGTGTGAGTACAGCGCATGGCCCCTGAACCCGCTCGCTAAGGGCACAGGGTGTGTGGGTACACCGTATGGTGGTTTGACCCACTCACCAAGTGGCACAGGGTGTGTGAGTACAGCGCATGGCCCCTGAACCCGCTCGCTAAGGGCACAGGGTGTGTGGGTACACCGTATGGTGGTTTGACCCCCGTGCTAAGGGCACAGGGTGTGTGAGTACAGCGCATGGCCCCTGAACCCGCTCGCTAAGGGCACAGGGTGTGTGGGTACACCGTATGGTAGTTGGACCCCCGTGCTAAGGGCACAGGGTGTGTGAGTACAGTGCATGGCCCCTGAACCTGCTCGCTAAGGGCACAGGGTGTGTGGGTACACCGTATGGTGGTTTGACCCACTCACTAAGTGGCACAGGGTGTGTGGGTACACCGTATGGTGGTGGGACCCCCGCGTTAAGGGCACCGGGCAGGTGAGTGTGCCTCATGGTGGCTGAACCCACTGGGTCATACCACCTGCCTTCACTCACCCGGGGGTTTCTCCCACGAATTCCCTTGCATTATAGAGAGGACAAGTAGCTGTGCAAAGCACATTGTGAGTGTGCTTCCCAGCTGCTTGTTTGTTTCGTGACAGCTGTTTTTGCTGAGCCAGGGATTTGAGGATGCATCTTCTCGTGTAGCAGTAATGTTTATGGACATGAATTCATGGATCTGGATGTTTGGGTAGCTGTTTCATAAAGATGAGGGAGAGAAGGATGGATTTTTGTGTGTGCACTGTGGAGCTGCTCACCTTTTGGGCTGCAAATCAAACGAGAGCAGCTGTGAGGAGCTGGGCTTTAGTCCAGGTCCTGGTTCCGTTTGTTTGCTCTTCCCCAGAACGTCACAGAATGCCACCGCAGATACTTCATCTGCCCTGTACTGATCATTTTAAAAGCAACTGCCGTGTTGTCGATTTATTTTTGTGTGTGTGTGTGCACCCCATTCCTGTCCCCCTCATTTCTTTGTGATTAATTTCCATGTCTGTCCCTGGTATCTCTTGTTGAGACCAGGGCTTGCCCACGTTTGCTGTGAAGGAGGAGGAGGAAGCATTTTGGGTTGGTCAGGCTGTGTGACTGGCCTCACACTCTGTGTTGTGTGAAAGCGCCGTGGGCACTAGAGATGTGAGTGGCCATGGCTGTATTCTAACTGCATGTGCCAAGTCAGCAGTGGAAGAGGAGAGGCCGGAGGTGTGTAGATGTTGTCTCTGACCGGGGGTCTATGCTAACGGAATTGAACTCTGCTCCGACTTGCTGAGCTGCCCACTTGCCTTCTGGGAGCCCAAGTCAGATTTCAGGAGCCTAAAGTATACATTGTGATGATAGGAATATTCAGGCATTTCAGCAGATTGGATGATGCTGGTGGGATTTTATCTATAATGCTTTTCTTACAAAATCAGAATCATTAGAACATTAAAAATTCCATGTATTGCTTGCTGAGTATTCCCTTCATGCATGAATATTAGAGTGCTAAGTGGTGCCATCACGGGGTCAGGCCTCTAATCGGTGCTGAGCCTGGAGAAAGAGGACAAGAAGGAGGCCTGTCTGAGGTTTACAAGTATATTAGTGAAAGTAACTCTGCTAACAATAGCATTCATGAGACAAGAGAATCAAACAGGTAAAATATTTGAGTTGAATATTGCTGGGTCACATCTGTGTGTGTGTGGAGTGAGTGTGCGTGTTGAACCTCTGTGTGCGTGTGGAGTGTGCGTGTTGAACCTCTGTGTGTGCATGTGGAGTGTGCATGTTGAACCTCTCTGTGTGTGTGGAGTGTGTGTGTTGAACCTCTGTGTGCATGTGGAGTGTGCATGTTGAACCTCTCTGTGCGTGTGGAGTGTGCGTGTTGAACCTCTGTGTGTGCGTGTGGAGTGTGCATGTTGAACTTCTCTGTGTGTGTGGAGTGTGTGTGTTGAACCTCTGTGTGCGTGTGGAGTGTGCGTGTTGAACCTCTGTGTGGCCGTTTGACATTTCCATCTGATGTGGCCTCTATCTTCACACTGCACGGTTCACACTGCCTCATTTCATGCTCAGTCTGGGCCTGGAGTCTCCTGAAATGCAGCCTGCTCCTTGTTTACGCTCTGCTTGCGGCTGCGCTGCGGGGACGGCACTGAGCTGATGGGACGGTGACTCCGTGGGGACTCCGGGTGCATGGGCTCTGTGTGTGGAGCCAGCCAAATGTGGATTGGAATACTTGGCAATAGAAATGTTACATGTACTGTACCTTTGCAGGTTTTTTTCTTTGTATTATTTCCCAAAGAATGCGAAATAGCAAGAATTTATAACGCTTATGTTGTATTAGGAATTGTGAGCTATCTAGAGATGATTAGATATGCTTCTTCAGAAAGTTCATACAAAAGAGTATGAAAAAATGCATCAGTTTTTAAATATTTGCACCAAAATAATATTTTGTTTTCCTGTGAACTTCTAAGCTATCTTCATAATGGAGCACTCGGTGACACACTGAGTTTCCTTGCACATGCTGAGGGAGCACTCGGTGACACACTGAGCTTCCTCGCACATGCTGAGGGAGCACTCGGCACACTGGGCTTCCTTGCACATGCTGAGGGAGCACTCGGTGGCACACTGAGCTTCCTTGCACATGCTGAGGGAGCACTCGGTGGCACACTGAGCTTCCTTGCACATGCTGAGGGAGCACTCGGTGGCACACTGGGCTTCCTCGAACATGCTGGGGGAGCACTCGGTGGCACACTGGGCTTCCTTGCACATGCTGAGGGAGCACTCGGTGACACACTGGGCTTCCTTGCACGTGCTGAGGGAGCACTCGGTGGCACACTGAGCTTCCTTGCACATGCTGAGGGAGCACTCGGTGGCACACTGAGCTTCCTTGCACATGCTGAGGGAGCACTCGGTGACACACTGGGCTTCCTTGCACATGCTGAGGGAGCACTCGGTGGCACACTGAGCTTCCTTGCACATGCTGAGGGAGCACTCGGTGACACACTGGGCTTCCTTGCACATGCTGAGGGAGCACTCGGTGGCACACTGGGCTTCCTTGCACATGCTGAGGGAGCACTCGGTGGCACACTGAGCTTCCTTGCACATGCTGAGGGAGCACTCGGTGGCACACTGGGCTTCCTCGAACATGCTGGGGGAGCACTCGGTGGCACACTGGGCTTCCTTGCACATGCTGAGGGGGCACTCGGTGGCACACTGGGCTTCCTTGCACATGCTGAGGGAGCACTCGGTGGCACACTGAGCTTCCTTGCACATGCTGGGGGAGCACTCAGCACACTGGGCTTCCTTGCACATGCTGAGGGAGCACTCGGTGGCACACTGGGCTTCCTTGCACATGCTGGGGGAGCACTCGGCACACTGGGCTTCCTTGCACGTGCTGAGGGAGCACTCGGTGGCACACTGGGCTTCCTTGCACATGCTGAGGGAGCACTCAGTGGCACACTGAGCTTCCTTGCACATGCTGAGGGAGCACTCGGTGGCACACTGAGCTTCCTTGCACATGCTGAGGGAGCACTCGGTGGCACACTGAGCTTCCTTGCACATGCTGAGGGGCACTCGGTGGTAGAGTTGTGTGTTGGGGTCCTGGAGTGAATCACCATCAATGCTGACAGACCACTCCTCTTTCCCATTTTACCGTTGACACGCCTACCTCACACTCACGTTGCAGGGATCTGGTCAGAATAAGAGTGAATGGACAGCACTGAGCCACAGCAGAGCTTTCTGAAACCAGTGAGCCTTTGTTTGTTTTACAACTCATGCTGAAGCGAATATATTGAATAAAAGAGGACAGCATGAAAAAGGATGTTACCTCAGGGTTTCCTTTATGTTGCTACTGAATAGTGAATTTTGAAACTCTGTTATAAATTAGTAAAACATTACCATTTGTAGTAAACTGAATTAATTAGAAGGTCTGAGGTTCTTTTTATTTCATAATGAAAATGTAACATGAGAAAATTTGTGGTGTGTACTCTTGTTCATTAGGAATAAATACTTGTTCACTTTATGCTTTGCACTCTAACTTTCCAAGGGTGACTGTTGTAGGGCAGCGTTGAGCCCCAGTGGCTTAGCACCAGCTCACAGCCCAGCAGCTGCAGCAGTGGGACCACATGACATTGCTGTCATGGACACAGTTAGTTACCATTGCAGCGAAAGGACCTGAAGACTCATGGCTTTAAAATTTGGCGTTTCTGCTGTGTCAGTAAAGAGCATTGGCCAGTGTCTAGCGGGGTAGTGGCTGCCCTGCTCACTGCCGTGACATGCTCTCCTCTGTGCGCTTCAGCTCTGGTCCTGCCGTGTCCACCTGCAGTTCAGCCACATGCCGAGGTTTCTGCAAAGCAGTGGAAGAGGCCTGGTGCTTGGGCCCCTGCGTGCTTGTGGGAGACCTGAGTGAAGCTCCAGGCCTGGCCGAGCCGTTGTGGCCATGTGGGGAGTGAACCAGCTGGTGGAAGGGCTCCGGACTCGGGCCTGGCCGAGCTGTTGTGGCCATGTGGGGAGTGAACCAGCTGGTGGAAGGGCTCTGTCTCTCCCTGTCTTCCTGTACGTTTGCCTTTCATATAAATAAACGGAATCTTAAAAAAAAAAATAGTGTGCCTGTAGGCCTCTGGCACAGTTTAAATTTAGAGCTGGTTTTAAGTGGGAATCTGTGGCTCTGGCAAGCACAGCTGTGGTAGTGTGATTGTTGGTGTCTCCAAAGCGCAAGGCCGTCTCACGAGTGTGTGCATCCTCAGCGCTGTGTGCTCGCAGGCAGGGCATTCAGACAGCAGAGCAGATGGTTCTTTCTCTCTTAGAGCTGGGAGAGCCAGCCCGCAGAGACGGCACACAGCGTTAGCTCCTGAGGGACCGTAGGGACGGTTGCCATCACTTGTTCTTTGCAAGCCTGTATTCCAGTGTAAGAGTGATGTGAAAAAGTAACGTCTTTTTAAGTAAGTGTGCATTGAATGGAAAGGTCTAGGCCGTGTTTTCAGAGTTCTTACTACATTGGCGGCAGATGATGTGAATATTCTTTTTTTTAAAAAGATTTGTTTTTATTGCAAAGTCAGATATACAGAGAGGAGGAGAGACAGAGAGGAAGATCTTCCATCCAATGATTCACTTCCCAAGTGACTGCAAAGGCCTGAGCTGTGCTGATCTGAAGCCAGGAGCCAGGAGCTTACTCCTGGTCTCTCCCACGGATGCTTAGTCCCAAGGCTTTGGGCTCTGCTTGACTGTTCTCCCAGGCCACAGGCAGGGAGCTGGATGGGAAGCAGGGATGCCTGGATTAGAACCAGCACCCACATGGGATCCTGGCGCCTTCAAGCCAAGGATTTTAGTCACTAGGCCACTGTGCCAGGCCTAATGTGAATACTCTTAAGAAGGAAGCAAACTTCTAAGTTGAGCATTTATGGGAGAATACAGCGCCAGACTCCTTGGGCTCGTGGCACTGCCGTCCAGTGGACATGCAGAAAGATGGTGTCAGTCTAAGGCAGAAGCCCTGTGACAGACAGCAGAATCTTCAGTAGGGTTGCCCAGGTGGATGGTAGAACACTTCCTGTCCCTGAGCTGCAACAGAGCAAGGCTAGCTCATAGGACACTTTGTAACTTAGGTCTTGTGCTCCTGGGGCCCATTGCTCTGGGGGACATGGCAGCTCGGTGCAGAGTAAGTGTTGAGATGACTCATGGCTTTAGTCAAGTGGAGCATCCAGGTCCCAGGCTGTGAGTGAACCATCCTGAAAGAGCATGTTCCAGCCACAGGGAGACTTGGGGTGGCTGTGCCAGTCCTGCAGGACAATCGGTTGGATATCTCTAAGAAGACTGTTGATTGCATCTATGGGACAAAACAGAGGGAGACACCTCCAGGCGAGGGTGTGCAAGCAGCTGATGCATCCCATAGACAGGCTTAGGGAGACTCCCGTAACTCAGGCCAACTCCCTGTTGTTGATTTGTAAATTCCTCAAACCTTCCTAGTCCTACGTGACCCTCTGGCTATAAAAGCCTGCCACCACTAATGAGCTTCAGCTGTTGTCAGTCAGTAGTCCACGCGTGTGATTGCCAGCTCCGTGCACCAAGTCCATCGCTGCTGGACAGCGTACACAGTCCAACGTGAGCCACAGAGCGGAGCTGCTCCCAAGTTCCTGACTGACGGAAGATGAGCTAGCACTGACGGTCGTTGTAAGCCTCTAAGTTGTGGAGTAAGTGGTTACACAGCAAGAAGTGACTGGTGAGATTGATATTCAATAAATGGTGCTGAGAAAACCAGCATGCATTGGTGTCTAAAAATAAATTGAATTCTTACTGTTTTGTTTCTTTTAAGAAAATTACAGTTGGGTCAAAAATTTACCTTAAGAGTGGAAGCCTGAATTTATTAGAAAATGCTGAGAACTTTTAAACTTCTGGAGTGTTTGTGACTTTGCAGTCACTTAGGACCTTTTTTTCTGACAGAAATGTCATGAACAAGGGTTTATACTAAAACATACTATTCTAAAACATGTAAACCTATGTTACACAGTGTCTCTTCAACAGACCTTGGAAATAGCAGCTGGCATCGTGCTGTGGCATGCTGGGCCGCTGACTGCAACAGCTACACGTTCCACATGGGCACCAGCTGCTGGGGTGGCTGCCCCTCTTCCGATCGGCCTCCCTGCTGAACCGCTTGGGGAGGCAGTGAGGATGGCTCAGTATATGGACGCCTGCCACCTGTGTGGGAGACTGACGGGGCCCTTGTTGCCATCTAGGGCATGGACCAATGGACGGAAGATGTGTTTTGTTTTAATCCAGTTTTGCTTTTCAAATACGTAAGCATTTAAAAATGCTCTGTATATACGATGGCCAACGCTGTGAAAAGACACAGAGCAGAATTATCAGTCTGTGCGTGAACAGTAGTTATTGAAGAGATAGATAATTAAGAACAATGAAAGACCACATTTTACCTAGCAGATTAACTGAGCTTCAAAAAACTCCTGTGTTGAGAAGGGAATGAGCACAGGTAAGAATGTAGATTTGTTTTTTTCTGCAGAGTTGTCTAATAGCAGGTGTTACGATGCGAAGCAGAGATGAGCCCACGGGCATCCTACGGATGCTGCTTGTAGAGACCCGTCCCAGCTGGTCCTTGGACCCACGCGGAAGGATGTACACATTTTGTGAAATGCACATATGCTTCGGCTAGTCCAGTTCTCGTCGCCCCTTGCTTAAATTTCTCCGTTTCCGGTTGTGTCGCTACACTATCCGTTTTCTGCTTCCCCAGAGTTCTTTTTCCCGGCTTGCTTTGTTCTCCTTACTTTCAACTTCCATATTGTCAACTCTCTTTCCTGCCTCCTGACATTCAAGCCTACTCTGTGTATTTTATTCTGACAATCGCTTTTAGCTTCCAGAAATTCTTCATTGTCCCATATAAAGTTAATTTCTCTAGGTTCCTTGTTATGGCTCTTTCTCGCAGGCCTAGCCACTGTGTGTGCTCGTCTTGCTCATGTTACTAGACCACAGGAACCTTGGCTGTTTTCTATGAATAAGGGCTGAGTTAACTAGTGCTGGTTTTCCGTTGCTTGTGTGGGTTTCCTTGAATGGTGGAGTTTACTGCTCTAAGCTGTATGCAGCATACTTCACAGCACGTGGTGTGCTTGGCCAACTTCCCTGTGTGTGGGTGGGGAACGGCAGGCCGAGTGGCTTCCTCCTAGTTGTCTAAGGACTGATTTCGTGCTAAGACACGGCAGTTCTTGCCAGGGGCTTGCTTTCCCCCTGCCTGCTGCCAAGGCTTGGAGCTCCTCTCTGGAGCTTCTTGCATGGATCATCCCTGTCAGTGTCCTTTCCGTGGCAGTGCTGAGGACAGCAGTGGTCATGGGTGCTCAGGGCCCAACTGTTCCAAGCTGTTGTGCGTCTAGCTACTTAGCGTTGAGCTGGTCTTGCTTGCGGTGTCTGCTCTCGGCTTCTCTTGGATGGCTTGCGAGCAGCTCTTGGACTTTTGCTGGGGCCAGTCTGCACTGCTCTGTCTTCTTGAGCCCCTTGTAGTTTTGATCACACGTATTTTCTGTCTTCCAGGCACTGCATACATTCTCTGGGCTGCTGAGAATGCTGCTTTTGAGCTCATGAGTCCTTTAAATTCACTCACAAACCCGAGTCTCCTGTGTCAGCTCAGAGTTCTTGGGCAGGAGGAATGTAGATGCCATGCTCGGATGACCTGCTCTTTCCTTAGTGGTCTGTGATGATAGCCTTGGCTTCCTTGGAGTGTATTCCTTTTTCAGATTTGCTGTTTTTGAAGCGGCTGCTTCCCTGGGGTGAGGAGTGTGTTTGTGCACACAAGACAGCTGTAAAGCGAGCCAGAGACCCAGGGGCTGCAGAGGCAGAGTCGCAGAGCCCACGCTGCCCCTCTCTCCCACCTCCCCTGGGGCTTCAGTCTGGGGCAAGGAGAGCCCACCTGCCCCTCTCCCACCTCCCCTGGGGCTTCAGTCTGGGGCAAGGAGAGCCCACGCTGCCCCTCTCTCACCTCCCCTGGGGCTTCAGTCTGGGGCAAGGATGGTGCAGCTGCTCATGTCAGATGCTTGCTATTCCTAGGATTTCTGTTCCCCTATGCA